CCTCTCCCTTCCTCTCTGTAAAAAATCAATAAAATATATTTTAAAATAAAATAAAATAAAATAAACAAAAGGGAGGAGGCGAGATGGCAGTGGCATAACTTAGTGGAATAAAAGTGCCACCCTAGCCAGTTTGGCTCAGTGGATAGAGCATCGGCCTGCAGACTGAAGGGTCCCTGGTTTGATTCTGGTCAAGGGCATGTACCTTGGTTGCAGGCACATCCCCAGTAGGGAGTGTATAGGAGGCAGCTGATCGATGCTTCTAGTTCTCTATCCTTCTTTCTTCCTCTCTGTAAAAAAAAAATAAAAATAAAAATAAAAAAAAAAATATATATATATATATATATATATATATATATATATATATATATAAATATTTGGAAATTTGACTACATTAAAATTAAGACACTTGTGTCCTGGCCCAGTAGCTCAGGTGGTTAAAGCATAATCTCTTCCACTCTCTCTCTAAAAATCAATGGAAAAATATCCTCGGATGCCCGGCCGGCATGGCTGAGCGATGACCTATGACCCAGGAGGTCACGGTTCAATTCCAGATCAGGGCACATGCCCGGGTTACAGACTTGGTCCCCAGTATGGGGCGTGCAGGAGGCAGCTGATCCATGGTTCTCTCTCCTCGTTGATGTTTCTCCCTCTCTCTTTCTCTCTCTCTGAAATCAATAAAAATATATTTGAAAAAAAATAGCAGACCCTGGAAACACAGATGCTTATTTGTGAAATGCACAAATGTCAGCTGTAGTGCCTGCCCCAAGAACACACCATGGCAACAACGCAGGAACAGAGCGGCACGAGCGAATATTTGTAATACATTTACCTTTATTATTTTTAAAAAATATTTTTTATTGATTTCTGAGACGAAGGGAGAGGGAGATAGATAGAAACATCAATGATGAGAAGCATTGATCAACTGCCTCCTGCATGACCCCTACTGGGCATTGAGCCCCCAACCCGGGCATGTGCCCCTGACCGGAATCGAACCTGGGACCCTTGAGTCCAAAAGCCAAAGTTCTATCCACCGAGCAAAACCGGTTAGGGCTGGCATGCTTTTTAAAAAATACATATATTTTCTTATTGATTTGAGAGAGAAGAAGGGAGAGGGGAAAAGAGAAGCCAATGGGAATTGTACCATTGACCTTTTGGTGCAAAGGATGACACTCAACCAACTGAGCCACACCAGGTTGGTTGTGGTTTGCTTTTTTTAATCTAAAAGCTAGGTTGTTTCCCACCAGTGTGCAGCAAACTTTTTGCAGGCAAAGGAAAATTTTTTGTTGTATTTTATGCTGTTATCTAGTATTTAGACACTCAAATTTCGACAACTATTACTTTTTAAAAATATATATATATTTGCCCTAACCAGTTTGGCTCAGTGGATAGAGCATAGACCTGTAGACTCAAGGGCCCCAGGTTCGATTCCGGTCAGGGGAATGTGCCTTGGTTGTGGGCACATACCCAAAGGGGGATGTGTAGGAGGCAGCTGATCAATGTTTCTCTCTCATTGATGTTTCTCTCTCATCAGTGTTTCTAACTCTTTATCCCTCTCCCTTCCTCTCTATTAAAAAATCAATAATAAAAAAATTATAGCATACCCTAAGATTTAAAAAAAAATAATAATAATAAAAATATTTTTTATTGATTTCAGAGAGGAAGGGAGGTGAGAGAGAGATAGAAACATCAATGATGAGAATCATTGATGACTGCCTTTTGCACGCCCCCTACCGGGGATGGAGCCCACAACCCAGGCATGTGCCCTGACGGAATCGAACCATGACCTCCTGGTTCATAGGTGGTGCTCAACCACTGAACCATGCTGGTGAGGCTCAATACCGTACCTAACCATTTTCCATGAATCTATTTCACTCATTACTTACCCATGGAAATTCATCCGTATTTTGAAAACAAAAACACAAAAACCTTGTTGGAAAGTTCTGAGCGGTAGTTACAGTCTAAACAAAAGTTAAGGCTCTTCCCGAAAACCGGTTTGGCTCAATGGATAGAACGTCGGCTTGGGGACTGAAAGGTCCTGGGTTCGATTCCGGTCAAGGGCATATACCTTGGTTGCGGGCATATCCCCAGTAGGGAGGGGGTGTGCAAGAGGCAGCTGATTGATGACTCTCTCTCATCGATGTTTCTAACTATCTCTCTCCCTTCCTCTCTGTACAAAATCAATAATATATATATATATATATATATATATATATTAAAAGTTAAGGCTCTTGCCGAAACCGGTTTGGCTCAATGGATAGAGCATCGGCTTGGGGACTGAAAGGTCCTGGGTTCCATTCCGGTCAAGGGTATGTACCTTGGTTGCGGGCACATCCCCAGTAGGGGGTGTGCAAGAGGCAGCTGATCGATGACTCTATCTCATCGATGTTTCTAACTCTCTATCTCTCTCCCTTCCTGTCTGTACAAAATCAATAAAATATATTAAAAAAAAAAAAAAAAGTTAAGGCTCTTGACGCTTTGGGTTTTTCTACGGTTAAAGCATGACGCGTGACCGGACTACATTTCCCATAGTACCTCGGGCCTAGTCCGGGTTGGGGAGAAGGAGTCTGAACTCTGATTGGAGACTGCTGAGCTCTGTCTTCATTGCAAAGGGCGTGGTCCTGAGCTTACTGGGAAATGTAGGCGATCCCCCACGTGGGAGGAGAGGGCGGGGCTTGCGGAAGGACCTGCGTGAGGCACCCAATGGCTGCCGGGAAACGTGGCGGTAGGCCTGTCGCTCAGCCGCCTGGGATTTGTAGTCCGGACAAGTCCCTGCGGCTACCAACGCCAGTTCTGCTGCCAGATCTGCTGCAGGCTGGATCATCTCAGGCCTTGCGCCCTTCCTCCACCACTTCCCTGGACCCATTCATGTTTCTACCCTAGTTGCTGAGGCTTCCACTGGAGAGCCAGGGAAACGGCACTGGCAAAAGCTGGCCCTTGGCAGGCCTGGGAGGGGGGTAAGGGTGCCCATAGGCAGAGCTGAGTCAGGAATAAACTCAGAATGCTGTATGAAGGCGAGCTGATCTGATGTAGAAACTCCTTGCAAATGCCTTCCACTCACCACCCCGAACCTCTCTGTATGCCCTGGCTCTTTGTTCCTGGGCTGGTATGACAGACATTGACAGTGGCATCTAGAGGGATGGAGGTTTGTGATGGGGAAAGCCTCGGACCTGTGGAAGCCTGGGGGATCTGCCAGGAAGGAAGAGAAGCAGTTGGAGATCCGACTCATCTCAGGGTCCCCAACCTGGCCCCACCCAGCCATCCTCATGTGCCAGGGTATTGCTGGGTGCACGGAGTTGCTTATACCCAGCCCTGCCCCACGGCGGTCCCCCAGTCTGGCTGACCAGTGCGGGGTCGGGAGAGAAGTCTCACTCACATTTGGCCCCTAGGAAGTGTCCTAGGCAGGACTAGAAGTCCAGGCACGTATAGCCACGAACTGCCCGATCCACTTACTGCCCAGAATGTCAAGTCCATGCGGGGGAACCCCTCCTGGGCAAAGGCAGAAACCCAACATCTGCCTCGTCTACCCTCTGGTTGCCTGTGCCATCCTGCTGCCTCCCCCCTCCCCCAACTCCCTCCAGCTTGGAAAACAAGCTTAGGGGCAAGAATTGTGAGCAAGGTCTTCAGTCCCATGATTGACATCTTCCCGACCAGAAGCCACCCCCTCACACTCCCACATCTCATTCCTCCTCTGGAGGGGGCATAATGCTCCCCCCTTTTAGGAAATGACAGGGGTGACTGTCATTTGACCCAACGGTGACCCTTTAGGTGGGTTGGTGCCACAGCTGAGGGAAGGGAAGAAGAAATGTAACGATCTCTTGGTTTCTTTGATATTGTCAGTCAGGACCGTGATGCCATCTGGGGGTCCCCACCGCCCCAGGTAATAACGGTATGAAAAAAACGTGGGGAATCCCTAGCTGGTTTGGCTCAGTGGATAGAGCACTGACCTGCGGACTGAAGGGTCCCAGGTTTGATTCCGGTCAAGGGCATGTACCTTGATTGCAGGCACATCCCCAGTAGGAGGTGTGCAGGAGGCAACTGATAGATGTTTCTCTCTCATTGATGTTTCTAACTCTCTATCCCTCTCCCTTCTCTGTAAATAAATAAATAAATAAAATATATATATTTTTTTTTTTAAAGGAAGAAAAATGGGGAAGGAGAGAGATCGAGTGGCTCATGCTCCACCATTTCCCACGTGCTCGCTCACTCCCTGGGCTCACCAAGAACATACCAGGCAGGGGTGATTGTGCCTATGTCCAGATGAGGAAACTGAGGCTGGGAGCAGGGAAGAGACTGGCTCGTGGCCTCACAGGCAGGGAGTAGAGGAAGGAACATTGGGAGGGGGAAGCCTAGACTCCCAGGCTGGGTAGGTCTTCAAGTCTGTGTCTCAACCCAGACCCCGGGGTTGAGAAGGGGACGGACCCTAAGCAAAATTAAACGAGGTCTTTCTGGCAGGACTTTGTCAGAGCCTTTAGCTCCTTTGCGATTCCCAGGTTTTCTCTGATCAGGGCCAAGACCTGGCAGGACAATGATTGACAGGCCCTGGATCCCAGAGGCCCTGAGCGGGAGGGGCACTCGGGGTGAAGGTGTTCGTGTGTGCAGTTATGTATTCCTGACATCTGTGTGCAGGACTGGAGGGCCGTCTGTACCATATGCATCCGTGGTCTCCTCTGATGATTCTGGGGTTCAACTAACACCTAGTAAAGGAGGAACAGGACAGGCAACCCAAGGCCGGGTTCTTGCCTCTCCCGGCCTCCCACGCGGCGAGGGAAAGGCCCAAAGTGCTTCCACTGCCCTCAAGGCTTTATTGTCGCCGGACCTGCCTGGTGCTCGGCGCTCCCAGGAAAAACACAGGCAAGGAAGGGGTCCCAGCCCCGCAGGAGCCCCCGCCTCCGGGATCGCCCCGCCAGGCAGGGTGGGAGGGAGGGATGGGCGTTCTCGCTGGGTGCGCGGCCCTGGCAAAGGGCGGCTGGTGGGATGGGATGGAGGGGGGACCAGCCCCGCTAGAAGGGGAACTCGCAGACGTAGTAGAGGCGCCGCTCGCAGTCGTGGTCCCACCAGGAGCCGTCGTCCGAGGCCTGAGCCACGCAGTTCTCGAGCGCGCCGCCGTTGGGCTGGTTGGGGCTGAGCGGGTGCGGCGCGGCGCTGGGCTGGCTGCCCGGCTCGGGGTCCGGCGCGCGGTGCCAGGCGAAGAAGGTCACGCGCTGGCCGTTCTCGAAGAGGTAGAGGCCCTCGGCGCGCCGGTCGTGCACGCCCAGCCACACGGGCCAGTTGTAGGGAGCCAGCGCCCCGCGCAGGTAGCGAGCGAGCGCCTCCATCTGCTGGCGGTCCGCCGGCTGCGCGAGGCTTCCGCCCCGAGCCACGCACCGCGCCTGCGCAGCCGCCTGCGCCTCGAAGTCGCGCGAGAGCAGGAAGCACTTGTGGCCCAGGCGCAGCCCCTTCAGGCAGCCTGCGGGAGAGGGGCGGGGTCAGGGCCTCTGTGGGCGTGGTTGGGGCGGAGCCTGATTTCCCCAGGGGGCGGGGCCAGAGACTCCGCGGCCCGTCAGGGAGGAGGAGGCGGGGACAAGACCCAGCAAGGGGGCGGAGTCAAGGCCGCCGGGGGCGGGGAGATACTGTAGGGACCGGACAGTAGGGGGCGTGGTGCGTGCAGAGTGGGGTCTGCTCTCCCGCGTGGTGTGGAGTGTTTCTCCCCCACCTCCCGCCTGCTCCCGGCATCCCCCCTCCCCGCCACTCTAAGCTCTCCATCATCCAACACCCCCAAGTTTCAAGGAACCCCTCGCCCCAGACCTCTCCGTGCCCCCTCCTCCTCCCACCAGTCCCCCCCGCCAGGCCTGGATCGCCCCCCTTTGCCCCGCCCCGCACCCCCGTGCGGACTCACCCTCCAAGCGGCCGCGCTCGCGCTCCGCGCGGCCCTGCGCCTCCTGCAGGACCTGCACGGCGTCGCGGGCGTCGCCCACCGCCTCCCGCAGCTGCCGCAGCCCCTTGGTCAGCTCCACCACGCGGGTGTCCAGCACGTGCAGGCGGACGTGCAGCTGGTGCAGGCCCGTGTCCAGGCCGGCCAGGCGGCCCACTGCATACGGACAGGGCCAGGGCGCGCGTCGGATGGGGACCCTGGTGGGGGCGGAATCAGGGGGAGCGGAGGACCTGGGGCCGAGGGGGAGGGGGACAGGAGCCTATGGCCTCTGGGGGCCGAGTTTGTGGGAAGGGAGTTGGCCGGCGGACACGGGAATCCTGGAAGGTCGGTGGCCCCGGGCTTTTGGGGGAGGCAAAGCCGGGACCCAGAGCTCACAGGGTTTGGGCGGGACGGGCTGGGCCGAGAGCAATGGAAAGGTCCCCCCCCCCCCTTCCCCTTCCCTATGGGGAGGGGACGGTTCGTTTTGGTGGAAAGGATGGCGGAGGCTAATGATAACTCACGGATGTAAGTAATGGCGTCCTCCGGGGTGGGAGAGGGGCTGGGGCTGGGGGAGGGGGTTGGCGTGGCTTCCTCTTCTTCCTCCTCCTCCCCCTGCGGGCCCTCCTCCGTCTCCCAGGCCCCTTTGTCTTCCGGGGTCCCCTCAAGACTGTCGTCCCCCCGCGCAGTGGGCAGCCCCAGGGACTCCTGTAAATGCTGAGGCCGGGAAGGGATGGTCGCCCCATGCTGACCCCCCAGCTGCTCCACCCACCCCCTCTCCCTCCACCAGCTGTAATCTGGCTCACTGCCCTCAGTCCCTTCTGTGAGCCCAGCACCCCCATCCTCTGGACACCCCCCCCCCCCATCCCTCCCGCCGGCCCAGCTCTCTGATCCCAACAGCCCCTGCCAAGGCCACGGTGGTCGCGGTCACCATCCCGCCCCCACAGCCACTCCCCAACTCACCTTCAGCATCAGGGCCTCTCTCTCTCGCTCCTCCTCCTGGGCGCCCCCCCAGCCCCCCTCCCACTCCCTCTCGGCTCCCCGCGCCCCGTGGCCGAAACCCAGGAGCTGGGGGACCACCAGGGCCCCAAGGAGCCAGGCTGCCTGCATCGGGGTGGGCTCGCAGCACCCAAGGCCGCGGGCAGATGTCTCTGAGGAAGGGTGAGGGGTCTCTGGGGGCTGGAGTGTGTGCAGATCCCTGGCCCCCGGTCCCCGCCTCTCCCAGCTCCTCCCCGGTCCCTCTCCTCCCAACTCCCTTCTGGGCTCCCGGTCTCAGTTCCTCGATGTGGGTCTCTCCCCGCCTCCCCTGGCTCCCTCCCCCCACCCCCACCCCCAGGCCCTGCCTCTGTGGCCGGAAACCTCCAGCGTTCCAAGGCCTGGATCCCGCCCCGTGTCTCCCCTCACGCCGCCCTCTTCCCACTTTTCCAGCGCTCACTACCCCGCCCCGTGCTTTCCTTCTGCCCCGGCCAAAAACCGCCCTGACGGGCAGGCAGAGCTCGGGGCTGGCTCTCCGAGGGATCCCGCAGACACGGCCTCCACCCAGGAGCCCCCTCAGGGGAGGGGAGGGTTGTTGGCCGGGGACCCTGTCCCCCCTCTGTCGCTGGCCACTCCTCACGGAGGCGGGGAGCGGGGGAAGAGACTGCAGGATCCCTTCAGGGTTGTCGTTACTCCGCTGGGAGAGGCTTTCCCACCCTCCTTAGGCTCTAGGGCGCCTTCTGCCCCAGGTCTCCCATCCCACCCTCCACGCTCTTGTTCCCCCCTCTCCCCCCAAGACACAAGGGAGTGTGTGGGACACATACATACGAAGAGCATGCGTGTGGTTGCGTGTGCAGCCCCAGGAGGCCGGCCTCTGGGATGCATTTTGCCATTTATTTCCCTGGAGGCCTGCAGACCAGGCCCTTCAGGACTGGGGACTCCAGACTGATGGTCCCACTGGGTGAGGGGAGGGAGGAGGAGGGGCCAGGGCGGAGGGCAGGGAGGAGGAGGGGCCAGGGCGGAGGGCAGGGAGGAGGAGGGGTGAGTGGGGGTCAAGGATGATGCTTTCTCCGGGAGGCGGGGCAGACAGGTGCTGGGCCGGGTGCACACAGGGCTCTGAGCCGTCAGGGAGGCTCATCTCCCGCCTGGACCACTGCAGTCGCCTCCTCCCGCTCTCCCCCTCCTCCTTCCTCCCGAGCCCCTCCATCCAATCCATGCCGCTTGCCGCAGCCAGAGCAAAGCTTCCAAGCTGTAAATCAGACCGTGTCACTCCCCGCTGCCCTGCTCCCCCAGCTTCCCATCACAGCGGAGGAGGGGCCAAAGCCCGCCCCTGGCGAGGGTCTGGCCTGCCCTGCGGGGAGCAGGGGGCTGGGAAGGGCGGGTCCTTTGCCATTCTGCAAGCTCATCACCCCCACGCCCCTGCCCCCTAGGATCCAGCCACGCGGGAGTGTGGGTACCCTCCTGGCTACTTCCTGAATGCTGACCTCCTTCCCACCTCACAGCGTTAGCACCAGGCTTTCCATCCTTCTGGAACAAGGCTCAGGCCCAGCCCCTGCTCATTCCCAAAATCTCAGCCCCGAGACTTCCTTTTTCTTTTTTTTAAATATATTTTATTGATTTTTTTTTTTTTTTTTTTTTTTTTTTTTTTTTTTTTTTTTACAGAGAGGAAGAGAGAGGGATAAAGAATTAGAAACATCGATGAGAGAGAATCATCGATCAGCTGCCTCTTGCACACCCCCTACTGGGGATGTGCCCGCAACCAAGGTACATGCCCTTGCCCGGAATCGAACCCGGGACCCTTGAGTCTGCAGGCCTACGCTCTATCCACTGAGCCACACCGGTTTCAGCGAGGCCTTCCTTTTTATCTAAAGAAGCCTGGCTTCTGCAAATTACTTTATTAAAACAGTCCCTTTTGCCCCAGCCGGTTTGGCTCGGCCTGCTGACTGAAGGGTCCCGGGTTCGATTCTGGTCAAGGGCACATGCCCGTGTTGCAGGCTCAATCCCCAATGGGAGGTGTAGAGGAGGCAGCCGACCAATGATTCTCTTTCATCACTGATGTTTCTATCTCTCCCTCCCTTCTTCTCAGAAATCAATAAAAATATATTAAAAAACAAAACCACCCTTTTTGCCCTTGCTGGTTTGGCTCAGTAGATAGAGCATGGGCCTGTGAACTGAGGGGTCCCAGGTTCAAGTCTGGTCAAGGGCACATGCCTGGGAGGTGCGCAGGAGGCAGCCGATCAAGGATTCTCTCTCATCATTGATGTTTCTCTCTCTCCCTCCCCCTTCCTTCCTCTCTGAAATCAATGAAATCAATAAAAGCATATTTAAAAAAAAAAACTTTTATCTTTTCAGTATACTCAGGATGGCATTGTCTTGCTTGCTCATTTGTTTGTTTGCCGTCTGTCTCCTGCCAGTGAAGGCAGGGGTTCTGGTTTATTGCTGGATCCCCAGAGCTAGAACAGGGCCAACCCAGCAGATAGTAGGTGCGCCACCAGAAGTAGCCCTTCATGGCACGGTGGTCACTTCGCCCGGCGATGGGAAGCTTGACCATCGTGTTCCTGAGGTAGAGGCAGAGGGGCACCGGGAGAGGCTGGGGCACCCAGGGTGGATGAGGCGGCAAGGGCAGAGGGAGAGAGGATGCACAGGCAGGCAGGAGAAGCGAGAGGCCACACCATGCCCACTCCATGCCAGGCTCGTGACTCATGCAGGGCTTTCCCAGAGCTGGCCTGGCCGGTGGTGCCAGCGAGCATGGAGCTCACTAGCCAGGGATGCCAGGGCCCAGGCTTCAAGGAAGGAAACCGAGGCTCAGCGAGGGGACAACAGCCTGCTGGTGGTCACCAGCATGGAGGCAGCTGGACAAGGCTTCCAGCTCCGAGGCAAGAGCAGGGCACCCGCCCTCAGCTGCTGGGAGCCCCAGGAGGGGCCCTGGACATAATGTGCCCAGGCTTCCTCTTCCAAGAAAGCAGAGGGCACACCGCAACCGGTTTGGCTCAGTGGATAGAGCGTCGGCCTGTGGACTGAAGGGTCCCAGGTTCGATTCCGGGCAAGGGCATGTACCTTGGTTGCGGGCACATCCCCAGTAGGGGGTGTGCAGGAGGCAGCTGATCGATGTTTCTAACTCTCTATCCCTCTCTTCCTCTCTGTAAAAAAAAATTCAATAAAATATATTTGAAAAGAAAAGAAAGAAAGCAGAGGGCAGTGTGACCTTGGGCAGGCTGCTGCCACCTCAGAGGGTGCCAGGGACCCCTTCGCAGCAGCCACGGGCCTCCAGCCGCGAGGCACAGACCAGGAGAGGCCTCGTACCCCGCAGACGGTGCACAGCCTCTCTCGCCGATGTCACCGCGCCGGCAGCTGTTCTCTCTCTCCCGGGCCCAGCTGCTCAGCACCTGGGCTGCCGGGTGGGTGTGAACCAGAGGGGGGCTGCCCGGAGCTGGGCTGGCACCTGCTCAGGCTCCCGCAGAGGCACCCGCAGCTGGAGGCGCCTCTGGAGACACCCGGGTGCTGTCGGAGGGAGCCGGGAGAAGGGTCCGAGGCTAGGCTGGGGGGGGGGGGCCATTCTCCGGAGCACCAGGCAGCTGAGCGGGGAGAGGGACTATGCAGCCATGGTGCTCCCACGGTGGGTGCACCATCGCGGGGTGAAGAACGGGAGCCACTGAGCCCCTGTACCGGACCCTGACCCCTGGCTCCTCCTGGGTGACCTTGGGTAAGTAAGTAAGCGGCTTGGCCTCTCTGAACCTCCATTTCCCCCTCTGGAAAACGGGGTGGCGGGGTCCCCCCCTGGCCCATGGGCGGGTGGGAGAATGGGAGAAGTCTGTGAGTAAATCCAGACGGGAGCCCCTCACTCAGGAAGTGTTCACCGTCAGCATTCGTCACGCAAGGCAGCTGTGGGGGAGGGGGACGCCCCCCCCCCCCGCCTCCGTTGCCCGAATCTGAATGGGCGTGTGCACACCTGGGTGGTGCAGGGTGCGGGAGGTGGCTGGGTGGGTGTGATGGGGGCGCATGCATGCACACATCTCCCTACAAGTGTGTGTCTGCTTTGGGGGGTACGTGTGATCTGGAGGCCTGAGCGTGCCCGCGGGGTGCCTGTGGGGTGTGGGGGTGCATGGGTGCACAGGTGTGCGATGTGCATGTCCCGCGAGCGGAGGGCGTTTGCGGCATCGCACACGCAGGCAGGGCCGCTGCGGAGGCTGCGCATGTGCGGTGTCTGCACCTGCGGGCCAGCCCGCGCCCCTGCACCTGTGTCTGGGGAGAAGGGGTGTGTGCGCCTTGGGGGGGGGGGCAGCGCGGGAGTCGGCAGCTCCCAGGATCCAGTTAGAGGGTGTCAGTTCAGCAACAGAGATTGATTGCGCCCTACTGTGTGTGGAGAGGGTGGGCGTGGCTCCTGGAAGGGGTGGGCCCGGGGTGTGGGTGCGAAGGGGGGGGACCGTTAGGGGGGCGGGGCCCTCTGGTGTGGGGGGTTTGGGGGGCCAGCAGGGGTGGAGTCCGGGTCCGGGATCCGGTGGCGAAGAGGAGTGGGGGGGAGAGGAGGGGGGAGGGGAGGGGGTTGGGGCGGAGCCGGCGTGGGGGGGGATGGGCGAGGTTTGGGGGCGCGGGGAGGGGCGATGTCTCCGCCGCTGGCTCCCGGAGGGAGGGGAGAGGGCGGAGGGAGGGAAAGGAGGAGGGAGGCCGAGAGAGAGAGAGACCGGGTGAGGGAGAGACGGCGAGAGCGAGAGAGCGAGGAGCAGGGAGCCCGCGGAGGCAGGAGCGGGCGCGGCGGCCCGGGAGAAGGAGGAGGAGGAGGAGGAGGAAGAGCCGGCGGAGCCGCGGCGCCGGGAGCGGCCGGGCCGGACCTGACCGAGCCGGGGCGGGCGAGCCGGAGGGGCGCGGCGGCCGCGGCTGCGAGGGCTCGCCCTGCGGCTGGCCGCCCGGTCCCGGGCGGGGCTGAGGTCCGCGGCCCCCGCCCTCCCCCGGCCCCACCGCCCCCTTCCCGGCCCGCTCGCCCGGCGGGGCGGTGGGGCATGGCCTGAGGGTCCCCCGGCTCCGGGGGAGGGGGGTGGGGGGAGGGGGGAGGGGCTGCGGGCGCCGCCGACCGGGACTCAGCAGCCCCGCCAGGCAGGTAAGGGGGCCGGGGAGCCGGGGGTTCGGGGCGCCGCGGG